TTCGCTGACAGTTTCGGAGCTGGTGCCTTCACCACCTGAAGAATTATCATTTTGTTCCCTGTTTTGTTCTTCATCATGCCCAGGGGCTGAGAGCGAGGGCACAGTCTCATCTGGCGTCATCACATGGGAAGTGCCCTCTTCGGACGGATTAATGGTTGAAACCTCACCTCCACCCTGGGCACCACTGGCACCAGAGTATGAACCTTCTCCTGTAAGAACATCTTCCGAATCAATGTTTGATAGGTTACTCGCTGTTGGATCATCTTTGAAAATAGGCGAAGGCAGCGAAGACGGCGAAGGCAGCTGTGAAGGCAGTTGCTGCGTTTCCTGCTGGGAAGGGCCCTCTTGTTGAGGCGGAGAGACTGGGTTCCGTTCTTCCACCGTCGGCTTGGAAATTGGTCCTTCGACGCCCGGCCCACTTTGATCCCCCACCTTCTGCGGCCGCGTTTCCTTCTGGGAGGTGCTCTCTTCCTGCGCCAACGCACTCGATTGCCCAGGCCCCGTGTGCTGACCGCCAGCAACATTATTCGCATCGTCCCCTTCGTTAATGGCGGTTTCGGAGCTGGTGCCTTCACCACCTGAAGAATCACCTTTGTCCTCCCTGTTTTGTTCATCCTGCCCAGGGGCTGGGGGCACGGGAACAGTCTCATGTGGCGTCGTCACATGGGCAGTGTCCTCTTCGGACAAATTAATGGTTGAAACCTCACTTCCACCCTTGCCACCACTTACACCAGAGGCGGAGCTTTTTCCTGAAAGGGAAACTTGAGACTCAACTTTCATCAACTTACTCTCCGATTCTTGATCTTTTGGAGTAGGGGAAATCGGGTCAGTTGCAGAAGGCTGCTGTGGAGACTGAGGCGGCGGTGGTGCTAACGGTCGTTCCACCCCATTGTGACTTGAACGTCGAGCAGGTGAATAACCAGAAGAAAGCTGTAAGTCATTTGAATGCCGCTCATTTCGAGAAGGTTGCCGCAATGTAAAGTCCCCACCGGAGATGTGATTGGAGATATCATTTCCACCCGAATGATAGGAAGAATAACCTC